CAGCAGGAAGGCAAACTATCATGCAAGGAGGCAGCAGTCTCGCCTCTGTCTTCTTTGGACCGGTCATCACGTGTCAGTGTGATAATGGAGAATGAGCTAGCCCAGCCCAAAGACCACGCATGGGGCTACTGGAACCGCTGCTGACTGGATTGAGGGATTTGTTTTCTGTAACCGTTTAGACAATATTTTCTTTCACTTCCTTGCTTTATTTATTTGTTTTTGTTTGTTTATTTATATAAAGAAAGCAGAATTAGGTAAGGTAGTGTTTTGGAGTAAACCTGCCTGGGTTCATCTTTCATCTCCACCACTTACTTAGCTGTGTCACTAAGTTACTTAATCACTCTGTCTCCCTTTCCTCATCAATGAAATAGAGCATATTGGTATTTCCCTCTGTGATGGTCTCTATCCAGATTTCAATGATAATCTGAGCTTGGTTCAATGCCTGGCACATGATGATTCAATAAATGCTTGTCATTTTTATGATTATCTAAAGAATTTGCACTTTCAAAGCACATCAGGAAAATCAAAGACCCTCCGTATGTGCTTTCCTATAATGTCCCTCAATGAGAAAGATTCTGGTGTCTATCCCATGTGGGGCATATAATATGAATTCCATAAATGTTGTGAATTAATTTGGAAGTGCAGTTATTTTGAAGTGTAAAGTAGGTGAAAACAATTTTATTTTCAGAAATGAAAGCACTAAAACAAGTATTTAAAGAATCATGTAGGAAAATATCTGATAAATGCTGTAATGTTAATGGCAATATTTTGTGCAGCTTTGTCAAAAAGCTTAATGAAATACAAATAACATTTCCAATGAATTAAAACTATATCGTGTAGGCTTGTTGAATTGGCTAATGGTTGACAATTTCTGGAATACATCGAGGTAAATCAGAAATCCCTGGAGGCGGAAAATACCATGTTGGGGCCTATGAAAATGATAAAAGAGAGAACCACCTGGCAATCTATTTTTTGTTTGACCTTAATTCCTAATTTCTAAATTTTAAAAATACTTTGGATTCCAAAATAAAAATTATTCAAGCTATGTTTATAATGTTTTTAGATATTCAAAACTAGATAACCAATAGACTATCTAATTTAGATAGTCTAAATTAGACAATTTATATGGATTTGGCCATATCCATATAAATGAGACAATTCAGACTATCTAAAACTAGTTTTAGATATTCAAATTAGATAATCTCAATATTATAGGTTTTATTTTCCCCCCTTGGACATTAAACATGTAACCTATACTTTCAAATTTCTCACTTTACTTTAGCAAAGTGGAGACCAAAGAAGTCCTGCTTAAGATGTTCTAATAAAAATTGAGAAACCATTCTCCAGTGTCTAATGAAACTCAGATCCGTTACCTAATAGTTACTGTGCATATGTGTAAGCTTCTATTACTAGGTCTCTTAAAAAGTGTGTGTGTGTGTGTGTGTGTGTGTGTGTGTGTGCGTGTTACCCATTTCAAGAGAATCTAGAGCTAAAACAATCCTTATTTCTTTACATTTCTAGTCTTCTAGTTGACTGTCTTTGTCCTATAGAAATTTTCCTTTCGATGAATAATTCAGACTCAAACTGCATATTGGTAACTATATTTTAAACCAAAAAATTCCTCACATAATAAATACATTTTATGCACATTAACTTCGAATTTACTTCAGAAAGCTATTTACAATATAAATAATTATAAATGGGAACACTTTGCAAGATATCATTGACATAGCTAATATTTTCTACTTTACATTCCAAAGTAAAAGTTCAAATTACAGATTTATACTGATATCACTAAAAACTATACATTGCAAGATGGTATTTGAAATATTGGCAATCAGTATCTTCTTTCACAAATATAATCCTTTTATAGCATGTCAGTCAAAAAACAAACATAAAATATTTTATCTTTTTTTGAAGCGCCTACTCATATGTTTCATTTTTTTGAAATATTTCCCTTTGGGGAAGAATATTGGAAAAATGTTACAGTACCTCTAAAATTTTTTCCATGCCAATTTCATTTCTTTTGAAATGTAAACACACCAGGGTCGTTGGGTACAAATTCAACTGTGATTAAATGTGCTCCGGATCAGCAAATTAGGACAAACTATATAGGCTTATGAAAGCAAATTCCCATGCAGCAAAACTAATAAATAAAATGATAAATGTTTGGTTTAATTATCAATTAGGATTTCTTATGTGAACCATCAGTTTTTAAGGAGCACAGCAGAATAGGACTTTGTTACTTGTTTTACAATTGCTTGTGTGTGCGTGTGTGTGTGTGTGTGGTGTGTGTGTGTGTGTGTGTGTGTGTGTGTGTGTGTGTGCTATACATACACACAGCCTTTCTGCATACCGTCCTAGAAAAGGAACTCTGAGCAAACCCTATTTGGATATGAGCACAATCTCACTTTTTGAGTTCAGCATTACCCGTACAACTCTTGTGCACAAGAAATGAGCCCCACACAGAAATTTTTCCCAAGAATATTTTCTAGGCATGTGTCCATAGCTGTTCTGTCATTAATTTGAGGTTTAGAATGAAAATGAATGTTTTATCCACAATGCATTTCCCAGGAAGGACTGACCAATTGATTTTGCTGTCTTATAGACAAATTCCTATTCACAAAAGCTGACACTGACATGAAAGTTGAATCACTTATTTGGAGAACCATAGGATTCACATTCATTATTAAGTCATTAAGAAAACAAGATGTGTCTTTCTGTCCTGTAATTTGAGTGAATGAAGGTACCAAATCTGGGCACTCCAACTTTTTAAATCAGAGTACATTGAAGCATAAGCTATTCTGCTGGGCAAGGTAAGTGACCCCCAAATGGCCAAATCCTCAGTTTTCCAAACATCAGCATTGACTGTCATTTCCAAATACTACTAGTACTAATAGAATTGCACTGAATAGTTTAGTAACATCCAGCTCTTAAAAGAAAGCAAGAGAGCTATAAAATGTTATATCTGTATTCAGAAGTTCTCTTTAGCTGTAGCGTCTTCTATCAAACTTATTTGGTCTAGGTCTTGGGGAAAAAAAGTCTTTTTGTTTTATTTTAAAATGTCTATGCATATTTTCCAAATGATCTTTTATTGAATTGATCCTCATCCACCATTAAAAAGACAAGAAAATGAAGCATATTATCCTTTTCTAGAAGAGCCCATTAAAGCCTAGTTTAAGTGGGATTCTCTGCCCAGAAGCAGCATGTGGCAGCAGGGTGTAGAGAGAATTAAGAATAGCACCCCATGAAAATATTCTAGTCCTATAAAATATAATCAAAAAAGAATAAATGAGTTTTCTGTATAATACTGGAGGCAAATCATTTATTGCATCCTGTCTCATAGTGAATGTCACACCAGCCCTGTGTTGTATTAACCTAAATCAGGCAATCACAGTTTAGAAAAAGCTAGCCCATTATATTCAGCACAGTATGTCAAAAAACCTGTGTGACCTAAATGTCTGACCTGTAGTGATTGTGATGTTAATATTATGCATCCAAAAATAATACATCAAATCTGTATATTCTCAATAATAATTTTAACTAAATTTTCCCAAGGAAGATGGGGAAATATTCATTTATTTCTTTGGTCATCCAAATTTTTAAATTAGGCAGGGCAGACAGGTAAAATGGGAAACAAAGATACTCCTACTATTACTAGAAAGCATGAGGTTTGCATCATCTAATGAATGGTTACATATTGTTCTAATAATTGGATATAACACATTTTTATGAATCCCCAAAGTGATATAAAAATCATACTTCTCTATTTCAGTCAATTCTCAGCATTTAGCAAAGTTATGGAAATCAAGTATTAAAACTAAAGCCAATTTAGGTTTAATTTTAAATGGGAACATACATATATAGGCATTATATGTAATGTAATAAAGTTGCTACCATAAAATTATTGACACATAAATTAATAAATAGGGTGTGTTTGAAACTGGATCAATCTACCAAAACTTTAATCAAGATGTAATTCAGTTAATTCTGTCTTCACTTAAAAATATTGGTCATACAATTTTAAAGAGCATTATTCCTTCTGACTACCCCCTAATTGTAGAGTTCATAATTTCTTTCTTTCATCAGTTAACTATCTTCCATAGAAGAATCCCACTGAAATTACTTTGACAGTGTTTTCTTTCATATCAATTCATTTTTCTTGATTCTTAAGATTCCATTTCTTTTATACCATCTGTCCTTGACATTTTTGGTAGAATGTGTATCCATTAGTAAAACCCATCTGTGTAGATTTCCTTTCCAAAATGCACCATATTCTTGAGATATCTGTGCCTTTGAACCATTTGTCCATCTACAGAATTCTGCAAAGACTTTAGCATTCCGAAAACCTTACTTCATGTTGCAAATTGATCAAAAATCCATTTTAAGTGTTCCAGGGTTTTCCATAAATACTTTTGCTTGTATAGTTCAAATTTTAGTTTTTATTGTTCTTTTAACATTTTTGAAAGTATATATGATAACCACTAACTTTCTCACTCATGTGCACCTTTTTCATTTACAGCACAAATGTTGCTGTCATACCCAAGAGCTATTTATTTAATTTTATGTAGTCTCCTTTCTCACGTACAAACAACCCAGTATTCATCTCTCAGATTACCATCATTCAGATTGTCACCTGCCTCTGGACTGCCAAATAACTGTGTTAAATGATGAAAATATACTACCAATCCCTGAGTGTTCAATGTCATGTTCTGTCATCAAAATGTAAGTTCTAATACCTCCCTCCCCCGGTTCCATATGGCAAGAGTTTCAGGCATGGGACTCCTAGGAAATATTTTCTATAAAATTTCTCTAATCACTTATGTTACTTTGCTTTGCTTACTAGAGAATGATGCATTAAATAAATCTTATTTTTCTTCTCCCTCATCAGTTTCTACCATCTATATCTCGGCTGAACTAGAAAGTTGATTGTAACTATAATATGCCTAAAAGAGCCCATGCACCTGCTTAAGTTTCAAAGCATCTAGACCTCTGTATGAGTGCAGGTAAGCCAGAATGATGAGCCTTGACAACTCACAGCAGAGAGATAACTGGTTAACAAGTTCAGTACTGCTGCACAAACGAACCACAGACCCTTGGAACTTTAGAGCTGCCATACAGGTAAAGAAATTGGGGCCCAGGTGTGGTCAGTGATACATCTGTGCTCCCAAAATAAGTTACAGGCAGGGTCAAACTGGAACTCAGAGATCTCGGCATCTAGTCTGCTGGTCTTTCTACTGTATCACATGAACTCAAGACCAAGTTTGTTTTTGCTGTTTACAAACAATATGGAAAAATGAACGCTTTGCCTGTTCCTTCAGTCAGAGTACTACTCATACCCTTCTAACCACTTGTCTATCAGCCTAGGCTTTTATCTTAGACTCTCTCCTGAGGCTTTCCACGTGTCACATTAGCACATCTGTGCTTTGAAATGTGTTCAAACACACTGCTGTCATGTAGCATTCACTGGTTTCCCTTAGTTGTTTGCTTCTTTGTGGTTGTTTTTTTTGCACTTATCAGCGTTTTTTTCTTGGTGAATTAGTTTGAATTTTTATTTGGTTGGTTTTACAAGCCCCAAATATGTTGATTACATATGCCGACCCTGAAATTGTTTGTTTTGAGATATCATTTCATTTTTCTCTGCCTCTGGCCTTTCCATCTCTACTAATCTATTTCCGGTTGGGCACACCAGGCTTTTGATGTGTGTCCCAATATCTCAGTGTTTTTACTTAGAAAAACCCTTACTGCTATGTCAGTGTGATCCTGTTCTTTGTCTAACCCAAAAGTAAGGTGAAAAATCGCCACTTCCTGATTGCTTATAATGGATGCCAGGTGAAAACTCATTCTTGTATCACATCCAGACCCATTTCCCTAATTTATGCCTGAACCAAATGAGCTGGATGGTTGAAACCACAAAGAAGAAACCAGTTTACAAGATATATCTCTTTCTTAGTTATTTTGGGAATGGAAATTTCTTTAAGATGCTTAATGCGCTAGGGTTAAGGAAACTTACCCACTTGGGGTATATTTATGGTATATAGTCTATATTTCCATATGTAAAGTATATATAGCAGTTTGTGGATAGTGGTCTGTGTGTATGAAGTTCATTGGATCATCATAATGATTGTTGGCATCCATCGGTCCTTTCATGTGATATATATGCTCACTTAATCTACACAAGTATTTTTCAATTCAAAATTTATCTATTCTGGTTCCCATATAAATAGAGGGGCAATTTGTGTATTCACTTTAGCTCCATTACCTGTGTATAACCCTGAATGCCAGTGCTGTTATCTGATTTCACAAGAACACATGTCAAATACCCAGTAACTTAAATTATCCACTCTAACAATCGGTGGCATTGTAAATGCTGGTAATGGGGCATTAAATGATAAATATATTTCAGAGATCCTTAAAGAACAAAATATTTTAGAAAAAACATCAGCTTCCATTGGTTATTATAACAGATGTTCCCTTGTGTCCTTGTGCTGGATCCGGCTGCATCCTTAGATGGGAAGTTACATCAAAGTGGGAGCCATTACAGCCCAAGGAATAGTTTCTAATAGTTTCGCTATCATATAAGTGCTCCAGGGCGTATCCAGTTAATGTGTAAGCATGCTTATCAAAATACTGCCGGTGAGAGCCGAAGCAGTTTGGGGAGACGGCAGGGTGGTCTCCTGCCGTCTGATGAGGAGACATATCCGAATGTAGATAGTCTTTAGCTAGGATCAAACTGGATTTGGAAATGCGATCCGAATTGGGACTACTTATCCGCGACAGGGCCGTGGGACTGTTGTCGTAGTCATTTTCGTGGGGGCTCAGCATCTTTCCCTCTCTCTGCTGGATGTGGTCACATGGTGAAGTGTTGGCAAGAGCGGAGCTGTGGCAGACTTCGCCTGTCGTTGGGGGCTGCTGGTAGTTTGCAAAACAGAAGGAGTGTTTTTTCCCAGCTCCATTAATGGAAGCCAGTTGGTCTGGGGGGACTTTCCTCAGCTGCAACCTGTTCTCTTCTTCTTTAATCATTTGCTGGGTGGCTCTGATCAGAGTTTCGATTTTGCTAGGTTCATGTGGGCTACTTTGATACTGCTCAGTGCGATATCGGTCACCTGATTCGCTGGCAGACCCAGGGTCTGGAGAACTGACCACACTATCTTCATCCCAATGACCTCGCCCTAGAAATCAGAAAAAGTAAAAAGTAAGTGGTCTCAAAAATCATCCCCAGTATTGTAAGTGTATTTCTTTTTCCTATTAAAAGCAACCTTATATTTTTCCATTTTAATATATGCACCGATATTTGAAACAGACACAGGGTCACATGACAGTGTCAACATATTGTCCTGGAATTCATAGTTCTCAGTGGCTTTTAAGTGCAGATGAAGTTTATAACATGTTTTCTAGAAGGTAAACCTTGTTTGTGGGTTGTGAATGCCAATTAGCAAGACAGTCAAGTATGTTTATACTTGTCCATGGATGCACATCCCTGGACCTGTCTGACTGTAAATAATAAAAGAAAAATACATAGGATTTGGTTTCTGTTATTGTCTAGAGAAGTGTTATGTTGAAGTGATGCTCAGATAATGCTTTCCATTGGGTTTGAGGAAGATGATGATACAGGCTGGACTAGTTTCTCAATTCCAACTAAATCACCTAAAATGTTAAAATTGCTACATGTTTCTTAAGTAGAGTTACAATAAAGCTCTAACATTAGTAATTAAACTATTTGAAGTTATTAAACTATTTGAAGGTTTAAAATATGTATACATATTCATATAAGTGTGTGTGGGTATATGTGTGCATGGATATATACACACATATATATATATATATAGTTCCAATTAAAAATATAAATATTGCCTTCTCAAATCCAGTGGTAAAAAAATTCTGTTTCATACATAATCATACAGTAACCCTGATATTGCTTCTGAAATAAGAATAAATATTTTAAATGTTAGTAACAACTTGTTCAGAACCAAGGAAAGAGATCTAATATGGAGGAAAAGTGCATCTAAAATATTATTCCATAAATTACGTTATTCTCAAAACAGTCTGAAGCCAATATAAAAAGAGAGAAGAGAAACAGAAAGAGACATATGAAAGCTGTAAACTGCTTAATGCAACAGAGCAGCCTGGGATCACACTAGTCATTGCTTTCCTTTTCCCTTTTCTTCTCATTTTATTTCTAATATCCTCCTCCTGACCATGTGGGTTAAGGCAGGATTTTCACTTCACTCCATTCTTGGGTAAGCAATTGCCCTTTGCCCTGGGTTTTCATTCCCAGGCTACCAAACTAGAGAAATTCAAAATAAAAGCAGAAAAATAGAAAGCAAAAATGGAAACAAAGCAAAACCATTCATAGAAAACAGTAAGTGCCTAGGTGGTATGTGCAGGAGACTTCTATGTGTGAGAACAACAGTGTCTAGCACATTTCTTATCCTAGAGACACAGCAAGAAGAGTAATAGCACAGCCATTGGATCAATCTTAGTGTCACTGACTTTTAAGAAAATGGGAAGGGCTTTCAAGACCTGCCTGGACCTAAGCTTGGAATGGACAGAATGAGCTCTCCCTGACCAGTTTACATTGAAATGGACAAAGAAGAGCATTAATAACACTAAAGGCTTTAACTGCAGCACCCATTTCTGTGTGTTTGTAGAGCCGTGTAATAATCCCAAGGTGAAAATCCCCATGGGTCCCATACCTCACTCCATCCTCAACTCACAGAGGATACTGTGGGTTGCCATATGATGGGGGAAGGGGGCAGTTACTGGCATTTAATGCCCAGAGGACCAGGGAGGTTAAAACACCTGTGACATGAGTGATCGGCCATAAAACAAAGGCAGGCCTCCCCAACACGCCAATAGTGCCCTCATTGAGAAACCCTGCTAGATGAGCCCCAAACTACTCCGGTCCACATTGGAAGGGTGAGAATACAGAAGAAAATAATACACAAGAAATGTAAATACATACATACTACAAGTTCAATAGACTTAACAATTCACTTTAATTTACTTTTTTTTTCTTGATGTTAAAATGGGAATCATGTTTACTCGCCTGTCCAAGACAAATGTATTTAGCAAACATCAGCAACATTAATACACTTCAAAAGAGTGGATTTGGTTTTTAAAATCCCATTGGTTAGAGTTTCTGATTTGCAAATTCAAGGAGGAAACCATTGGGTGGGGATCACTCCAGGGTCAAAGCTGGACTATGATAAACCTGCCCAGAGGCGCAACGCTGGAGTCGCTGGAGCCGCCCTTACCGTGGATCCTGTGGACCGACGCGATGTGAGGCATGCTGCTCTCATAGGCTTCTCTGCTTTCCGGGGAGGCCTTGGTCAGGGGCAAGGCTGCGCGAGAGCCCCACCAGGGCTCCCTCCCCGCCTGCGGCGCTCCCAGGAAGTACCTGCCTGCCTCACACCGGCCGCCCTCGCAGGCCTGGGTGTGGAAATGCCTCTCCTCCACCAGCCTGGAGGGGTCGAGCGCGAAGCCGTAGCAGAGAGAGCCGCGTTCCGAGAACTGCCGGTAGGCGCACGACGCGTCGTGCTGAGAGCCCGGGCGGTCCGCGGGGTCCAGCAGCTGCGGGGAGGCCGCGTCTGTCAGAGGACTGCCGCCCCACTGGCTGTCGTGATCAGATTCAGATCTTTCCGCGGGAAATCCCGAGTACTGAAACCGAGAGGGTGAGAAAAGTACATTTCAAAACAAAGCAAGAGGGGCCTTCCTGGTGGCGCAGCGGTTGAGAGTCCGCCTGCCGATGCAGGCCACACGGGTTCATGCCCCGGTCCGGGAGGATCCCACATGCCGCGGAGCGGCTGGGCCCGTGAGCCATGGCCGCTGAGCCTGCGCGTCCGGAGCCTGTGCTCTGCAACGGGAGAGGCCACAACGGTGAGAGGCCTGCGTACCGCAAAAAAACAAAACAAAACAAAAACAAACAAACAAAAAAAAAAAACGAAAGAAAGAAAGAAAGAAAGAAGGCCCCAAGGTCTGAAAGCACCCTTAAGGTCATATTGGGCTTAAGGCACCAAAATAAGACCCTAGCACCACTCTGGACACCCGTGACTTGGATCACCTGGCTGCCAGAAGGAGGAGATAAAACTAATAATAACAAACATGGACTGAATTAAATGCCAGGCACTGTTGGAGGTACTTCCTGTGAATTACTCCACATAATTCTTACAAGCACTTAAGTGGAGATATTAGTAACCCATTATATGGATAGGCAAGCTAGGGCCCTAAGAGCGGAAATGATTTGCCCAAGACCACAGGGTGAGCAGGTGGCAGAGCAACGATTCAAGCCCAAGTTCTCCATCACAACATAAAGGGTACTGCCAAAGGGAGAGTCCAAGAGAGCACCATATTTTATTCCTATTGACTTTTCACATTTTTTCTTACTTAAAAAGCAATACAAAAATAAGTTTTAAGGCTTCACACTGGACTGTTTTCTCTCTGGGGGCCATGCTGGATACATGGCAAGGTAGTGAATAAATGCTTAACTTAATTCAGTCTCAATGTGACTTTGGAAAAGTCTTGCCCCATATAAGCTAGGCCTGTTCACTAGGATGTGTTTCTTGCTTTCTAAAGTGAAACTTCAAATATGCACAGGCTCATCAGGACAGCACAGCTGCAGGCTGTTGTTGGAATCACACTGCTCACCTGTTGCCAGAGTATTTGGTCAGGTGCTTGAAAGAAAACAAAAAAGGCTCTGAGGACCTCCCTAGGAGGTACGCTCAGTTTGAAGTTCCTCAAGAGCCACTAAAATCAGTAATATAATCATTTCTACCGGTTTTTGGTTACCTAATGCCAAACACAATGCTAGGTACCACAGAGAGTTTACCTGCTATAATAATAATAGATGTCATTTATTGGGAACTTACTGTGTGCCCAGCAATATGCTAACTACTCACTGTATATTATATCAATGAATCCTTATAACCATCTGGACAGTAACATAGCTCCATTTTTAGATGAGGACACTGCATCACTGAGTTTTAATAAGATGCCACAGCCATGCCACAGTCTATCTGGTCTCAAAGCCTGCACTCTAAACCATGGTTTTACACTTGAGAGAAAATACTGGTAAGGAAGAGAGGAGAAAAAAAAGTTTCAACGTTAGAGAGATTTCCAGAAAAGTGGCAGGAACTGCTTTACAGTCTCAGGAACCAAAATATAAATCCAAGTCCATTCTACATTCTCTTTCTTACCCCCAAGAAGAAAGAGGGACAGGGATGTGTGGTGGTGAGAAAGCGGGGAGGGAGAGGAGACATTCCCAGGCTCCAGTGTTCTTCACCTGTCACACACTAGTTGAGCAAATTTGACCCATGATGAGACCTTCACAGGACAAGGCAAACTCTCCCCTTCCTACTAGCCCCACCCTGAACAGGAGGAAAAATCCCCAGCTCTTCCCAACTCAGTGCAAACAGGCAGCTCCTCCGAGGGTCCCTTGCAGCCAGGCAGATGAGGTAGAGACGCTCCTCTGGGGCAACTACAAAGTACACTGATAAATACAGCATGCTCAGGACAGAGTTCCAGCCAATTCCAGGTCCAAGACTTTTCCACGACCATTCCTAATATTACTTTAATTATTTTCCAAATGTACATATGGACTAGCAGCATATTCCATCAAGAAAAAAAAACCCAGAAAATATAAATTCTTTCCCGCAGGCCTGTAGGATGGACACATCGAGGCACCCGAGCTCCATTTCTCCACCTCTCGCCTCAACCTGCCATCTGCCTTTTCTCTCCGTGAACACCAGCCTCTCTTTTCATAAGATGCCACCTTCACTTTCGCCAAGCGGGGATTGCCACCCTCTCTCCTTATTGAGTGGGGACCAAAGTGCTATCCATTTGCCCTCTGGTAGCACCATCCATGAGCTTGCCTAGGAAAAATTCAGATCATCAGTGCTATTCCACGCTAGGAATTGCCCGGACTCTGCTTGTTTTTATAAAAGTATAAACCAGACCTATTTCTGAAGTACTCCAGTCAAGACTTTTGAGCCCTGTTGAGAGGGGGAAAAGCCTTCCCTGAGTGTACATGGGAAAGTGCTATTGGCGCAGCAGAGAAGAACATTCTGTCCTTCGCTGACAAAGAAAATTCAGCATGAGGCAACCCTGGCGTACCTGAGGTACACATTTCAAGAGCACCCAAAGAAGAATTTGACAGATGAGCCTCTTGTCGATAATCAGGAAACCACCGCAGCAAGAGCATTGCCCTTCAAGCAGGCAGAAGTTGGGTGGTTCAGTTAGACCGAGCCCTCCCACTGCTTTGGAGGTACGGAGGAAAAGCCTAGCCGTAAGCCTTTGCTTTTTAAGAGAAGGCCTGTAAACTTGAACCTGTGTGCACCATCAAAACTGTGAGCTGCAGACTTCCCTGGTGGTCCAGTGGTTAAGACTCCATGTTCCTATTGCAGGGGGCATGGGTTTGATCCTTGGTCAGGGAACTAAGATCCTACATGCCACACGGCACAGCCAAAACCAAAAAAAAGAACCTATGAGCTACGTCCATCCTTTAAAACAGACCACACTCTATTAATACTACCACCCCATAATTTGATCTGAAATAGTTCAGGTGTTCATTAAGTATTTGAGAAATGAGAGAGGGCAGAAAAGGAGGAAGGCAGCCAGGCGATACATGCAGCGTGTGAATGAATGCTGCATGAGAAGCCTCCCGGTCTCCCTTGCACCTGCGTTTGCTACTTAATGACACGTACAGTCGTGGGCAAGTGATTTGATTTCTTTTGTCTCAATAGGAAAATGGTCATGATGATACTTAACCTACCAAAGCCTGAACCAGAGTTGGGACCATTTAATGGAAGAGGCACGAGGGACAGGGAGCCAAGAGGACTTGGTTCCAGGGACACCCTCGCTAGTAACGCTCAGGGAGACCTCAGGAAAATTGCTTCACCTTTCTTAGCCTCAGCTGTAGAATGACATAGAGGGTTAGATTAGTCTTTCTTTCTTTTTTTTTTTTTTTTTTTTGCAGTACACGGGCCTCTCACTGTTGTGGCCTTTCCCCTTGGGGGGC